AAAAAAAAAAAAAAAAAAAAAAAAGATGACCGGAAAGGGGGATCTTAACCCTTGACTTGGTGTTGTCAGCACCACGCTCAGCCAGTGAGCTAACCGGCCATCCCTATATGGGATCTGAACCCGTGGCCTTGGTGTTATCAGCAGCACACTCTCCCGAGTGAGCCACGGGCCGGCCCATGAAAGATTTTATTTTATACATGCACAAGAATACTCGTATAATTTTTAAAAATTCATGTAATAATGGTGATGTTTTTCAGTCTTATTTCTCCCACAGTCTTTCTATAGAAATAAGCCTCATTCTTTTAATATTACTTTGTAAAACTTATGAGGATACTTCAAAAAGTTCACGGAAAAATTGAATTAGAAGATAACACGGATCTTTCCATCAACTTTTTGAAGATCCTTTGTATTTATTTAGTATTTTTAAAAGAATAAAAAAGGAAGTTGAAATTATTCTGAACATTACCATCCAGAAATAAACAATGTTTATGTTTTGTTGTAAGTCTTAACATGTATATCCCCTTCTCTCCCTCTCTTGTCTGTCTGATCTTTTTAAGTCTGATCAGTAATAATGACCATTCTCATTTTTGCAACTTTTTGTGTAGACAATCAAATTCTCCACCCCCCATCAGACGCCAACCCACCTGGAGCCGGTCCTCTCTGGTATGTGTAAATTCTTCAGTAATCACGTAGTCTGACTGTTGAGTGTTCTTTGTTATTAATTTGAGGGCAGAGATGACTAGGGCATCATGACCAGGTGAGATCTTGTGAGAACACAAAGGACATCATTCTGCCCAGCAGGTGTTCTATCTTGGGCCATTTCGAGCATTACTCAAAGATAATAGAAAGATGTGAAGAGTTGGTTTCCCTTAAAGTTTTCTGTTTGTTTTAACTTATAAGTCTTTTATTTCTAGTTATGAGTTTTTTACACAAAATCAAAATAAACATTCTAGATGAACAGATCCTTTGCGTTTATAGGAGAATATAACTGAATTTTTTTTCATATGCAATGTACCCTATAGAGTGTCTTTAACTTGGCTTTTAAAAGGAAAGTTTTAAGGAAAATTTTTCTCTGGAAAATGAATGGACATGGACTCAGAATTTTTGAGTTGAGCCATTATATCATCACATAATAATTCCCAAGTACCCACATGAATTCTAGTAATCTCATTATCCTGCACAATATCTCACATGTGGCCCTTTGCCTTGGAGAGCTAAAGGGGTGCTTTGGTTTCTCCCCCTGGTGCATCAATAGATTTGCTCATGGCACTGTTTCTTTATTCCTCTCCTTCATTAATGTTATTTTCCTTTTCCCTTCTTTAGAGTCCAAATGTCTTACTTAGTGAGATAATTTTTTATTTATGTTCATGAAACACCTTGGAGGGCCAAGAGTTTTAAGGCTCTCTTGTCATCTGATTGCACACTACTAATCCAGAGAAGATACAGAGGCTTACCTATTTTATTTCGAAGAAGACAGTCTACAGGAAGACTGATCGGCTTCTTGGGTTCACCCTTTCCCCTGTTCTTTAGTTTTAAACCATTTCACCAAGAGTTCTTTGCAGTGGTTGAGGGTAAGACCAGATAACATTGTCTCTTGGCTTCTTGCTGATAACCAGGACTGCTGGTGGATGTTTTTCTCTTCCTCTTCTGCCCATATTTTGGCATCTCATTTGTTTGTATATTAACAGATCTGGAAATGAATAATATGTTGGTGTATATAAAGATATGAAATAAATAATATAATCCTGAAGTGGTATTTGGAGGATTAGGTATTATTGTCCTCTGCCTGTGGTGGATGTTTTTCTCTTCCTCTTCTGCCCATATTTTGGCATCTCATTTGTTTGTATATTAATAGATCTGGAAATGAATAATATGTTGGTGTATATAAAGATACGAAATAAATAATATAATCCTGAAGTGGTATTTGGAGGATTAGGTATTATTGTCCTCTGCCTGTTCAATTCGGCCAGTTCATAAACAGGCACTTACTGGATTTTTTAAAATAGTAGGAGGGGGATATAAACCACCTTGCCTTTCCATGTATTTCTATTCCCTTTTACAAATCCCTCCCCACTGTTTAAAAAAAAAAAAAAAGCCTTAAAACCAGCTGTCTAGCCATGGAAAAATTGAGTTGAATTACCTATTGCCAGGAAGAGGAAAAATATTTTAAATTGCAACTCAAAAATTAACCAAAGGGAGACTTGGGAATGTTGAGGAGAGCTGATACGGCACCTTTTCTTTAGTTCCTTGAACTACTTTTTTAGATTAGTTTAATTTCAGTTTTTTATTTTTTCTCTCTTCATCCCTTTAAATTTTTGGATCCTTGTCTTTATTATCTTCTTTATTTACCTTTCTGATGCTTAAGCATTGTTAGAAGCAGAGAAAATGATAGGCGGGTTATCTTCCCAGCTGTAAACTCTGGCCCTTCTGCTGCTGACGGATGCTGAGAAAGTCTAACCCCTGCTGGCTTTGGGCTTCTTGGTTTGTTCTCAGCTTCTCTCCTAAAAGAATAACTTTTACAATAATATCTGTAAGGCTAATGGAAACATTAGAGATCATTCTGTTTGGTGGCTTACAAACTTAAGGTCTTTTTTCACACCAAAATTCTTTCATCAGACAAACTCTTACCTGGATCCCCAATATGTGAATAAACTGGGTGATGTTTGCAGTAGGGGGAGGGTGTAGTGTGATTTGATTGACAGGATTTTGAGACCTAATGAGGTTAAATGACTCGCTCTAAATCACATTAGCGAATAATCATATAAATTTACCACTGGGCCCAGCGTAACACTAACCCTGTCCCTATTTGAGGTTGGAGTGGAGCTGTGGCCTAAGGCCATAAGCACAGCTGTGCTGATGTGGAGGAGCTTGTAAGCAGGGTTTTGCATCGGATGAAACAGGTGTCCCCCTTACTCTCCTATTTCTTAAATGGCTTATAATGTACCTGTTCTGAGTTATTCCCATTAAAGAAGGCATAGAGAATTTTGCACGTGTGTTCGAACGCAGAAAATAAATAGCTACATGCAGTCTTCTGATGGTATCCTCTGTTTCTTTCTGATCTTGAACTAACTTCTTGATTTCTCCATTGTTGGTCCTCTAGTCCCAGACTTAGTGATGAGATGGGGGTACAGATGAGAAGAGGGTGGGGTCAGGGGTGGCATGGAGAGCCACCTCAGATGGTGACGGGGACTGCCTTGTGAGAGTCGATGGCCGTCTCTGCTGTGTTCTCTGTTTCAGCCCAGGCAGCCGCTGTGCATTCTGCCACCCATGCACGTCCAGTGTGGCGAGCACTACTCGGAGACACACACTTCACAAGGTAACCCTGGCTCAGCCACTTTCCCCCTTAAGACGAAAAGTTGAATACCAATAAAGGGCAAAGAAGACTTTTTTTTTAAAAAATGGCAGAGATGTTTTCAGTTTAACTTTGTCTTTGTCTGGATGACAGTGGCCAGTAGGTTCAATTTGTGAAAGGCCTAAAATATCAGTGACCCTTGAGAAAAAAATGTCCCCAGGATTGGCTGCTCGGGGAGTTGGGGCCAGGGCAGTGAGCCAGTTCTCTTCTCCTCCTTTTGTAAATGGGCTTAGAGAAGAAAGAGAGACGGCTAAGCCCAACTGGATGTGTCCACCCTCGTTGCCAGTATCAGGAAGCTTGCAGCGGTCAGCCGGGGTCTCGTGGTGGCAGAGACTGTGGGCATCCAGAGTAACTGGAGTACACAGTCCCAACCCTTCTTCGAGCTTTTCTTCTCACCTCCCCACCTCCAGCCCCTTTCTCAGTGCACATATTGCTTCTCGGAGAAGAGGAAATCTGCTTTATTCCTCTTTTTCTCCCAAAACATCTCCCACACAAAAGGTGTGAAAAAGCCCGTTACTGTGGTAATAGCAGTTATAGAAATAACAATTAACATTTGTAGAGCAATTATGATGTGCCAGGCACTGTTATAAGTACTTGCTGTTCATTGTCTCACTTAATCCTCAAAGTAAACCTACAGGTACTATTATTATTTCCACTTTACAGATATAGAAATTAGGATACAGAGAGGTTAATGGTGGAGGTTGGATATGAAAATCAGTGTCTTTTCATCATTATACCAGCTGCATCTCAGAAAAGGAGATGGTAGAAAACCTTGGATGGTAGAAAACATTTATATGATAAACAGTATATTAAATGGATAATTAGTTTCTAATATCATCTCCTGGCCATTTTGAATCCTCTGCAGTAGAAGGTGTGAGCATGAAAACTGAGATAATTAAGACTATTTAATAACAGTACTTTTTATAATCAGGCTAGCAAAGTGACTCTGCTTCTATGGGAATATGCTTTAATGTGTTCTTTCTGTATGTTGGTGTCTCATCCAAGATAGTATCAGTTTTTCTGTGGAATATGGGGGTGGAGACCATGGGATTTCACTTTTTATGATTTATTTAAAAGTCACCCCATGAGTGAGGCAGGATGGCTTGGAGGTTCACGTCCCTTTGTTTGACTTCTCGTAGACAGCATTTTCCATGGGAACGAAGAGGCCTTCTATTGCAACTCTCACAACAGCCTGGATTTGAATTATTTAAATGGCACCGTCACCAATGGCAGCGTGTGCAGCGTTCACAGTGTCAACTCACTCAACTGCTCGCAAAGTTTCATCCAGGCTTCTCCCATGTCCTCCAACCTCAGTATCCCTGGAAGTGACATCATGCGGGCCGACTACATACCTAGCCACCGGCATAGTGCAATCATCGTGCCATCTTACAGGCCAACCCCCGATTACGAGACAGTTATGCGTCAGATGAAGAGGGGGATCCTGCATACAGACAGCCAGAGCCAGTCCCTGCGGAACCTCAACATCATCAACACCCACGCCTACAACCAGCCAGAGGATCTGGTGTACAGCCAACCGGAGATGCGGGAGAGACACCCCTACACCGTCCCTTATGGGCCGCCAGGGGGCTATGGTAACAAACTTGTCAGTCCATCTGACCAGATGAACCCGAAGAATAACACAGTACCGAGCAAGCCCGGGACAAGTGCCATCTCGCACACGGTGAGCACCCCGGAGCTGGCCAACATGCAGCTCCAAGGCTCCCACAACTACAGCGCAGCCCACATGCTCAAGAACTATCTCTTCAGGCCACCGCCCCCCTATCCCCGGCCCCGCCCTGCCACCAGCACCCCAGACCTTGCCAGCCATCGCCATCAGTATGTCAGCGGCAGCAGCCCGGACCTGGTGACCCGGAAGGTGCAGTTGTCAGTGAAGACCTTCCAGGAGGACAGCTCCCCAGTGGTGCACCAGTCTCTCCAGGAGGTGAGCGAGCCCCTGACGGCCACCAAGCACCACGGCACGGTGAACAAGCGCCACAGCCTGGAGGTGATGAACAGCATGGTGCGGGGCATGGAGGCCATGACGCTCAAGTCGCTGCACCTGCCCATGGTGCGCCACAACACCCTCCGGGAGCAGGGCCCACCCGCTGAGGGCCCTGGTGGCCATGAGGCCCGCCAGCTGCCGCAGTACCGCCACCAGAAGACGTTCTCCGACGCCACCATGCTGATCCATAGCAGCGAGAGTGAGGAGGAGGAGGAGGCCCCTGAGGTGGTGCCGCAGATCCCCGCGCTCCGGGAGAAGATGGAGTACAGTGCCCAGCTGCAGGCGGCCCTGGCCCGGATCCCCAACAAACCCCCGCCCGAGTACCCGGGACCCAGGAAGAGCGTCAGCAATGGGGCGCTGAGGCCAGACCAGGTCAGCCTGCCCCCCGCCATGGCCAGAGCCAGGGTGCTGAGGCCGGGGCCCGCCAAGGCCATCAGCGTGTCCCGACCTGACCAGCTGGCTGTCAACGGGGCCTCCCTGGGTCCTTCCATCTCTGAACCTGACCTGACGAGCGTGAAGGAGAGGGTCAAGAAGGAGCCTGTGAAGGAGAGACCTGTGTCTGAGATGTTCTCCCTGGAGGACAGCATCATAGAAAGGGAGATGCTGCTGAGGGTGAGTGCCTCTGCCCGGGCACTGCACCGCTGACAGCCACCCCATATGCACACAGGGACGTGCCAGGCTTTAGAACAGTCACTGGGCACTTAGACGGGTAGTGTTTTGTTTCACAAAATGTTAGTTTTTGCCCTTTCACATAAATCTCCCACTCTCACAGATGGCTTCTAGCAGGTATACTTGGTACAGAGTGCTATAATTGTGTTAGGACATTGTCGAGGTCAGTGTCTAGGCCAGCATTTTGCTGTGTATTCAGGGCCCAGACTTCCCGTTGTGTAAGCTGCTGGAAGGTCACCTCCCCATGACTCTTAGTGTTTTGGTTTTATAGGGGGAAGCATTTTCCCCCCAATTAGATTTTTTTTTTTTATTTACTACTTACTTGTACGTATTTGTGGGTAAAGTATGTTGTTTCAATATATGCATATACTGTACAATGATTCAATTAGATAGCATAGTTTTGTACCGAAAAGAACAACATCCCTATAGAGCTTTCCACATAGACCTGTATGTCAGGATAGCTCGCCAGTAATGTCTGGACTGGGATATGCCTAACTTTATTTTACGTTTAATACAAATTCAAGAAAATTATAGTAATTGGATATATAATTTGGAAGCTTACTATTGAGCTTCAAATCCCCATGGAACTTATTCTATCACAAATTCACACACATATATGTAAATATGCATATACATACAGACAGATACAATTATTGTGTTTGAAGACACATCCTAGTATTAGGCATGAATAGCCTTTTTTCAGAATACATATAATCTGCAGGGCCAGTTATGTCACCAGAGCAAGACTGTGCAGGTGGAAGAACAAAGTGACTCTCTCACTAATGAGAAAACTGCTGGATTGCAGGTGCTGCTTTATAAATCTCCATTGCTGCTTGTCCTGGAAATTTTCACTCCCTTAAAAAAATCATCTCATTATAACTCATCAAACCCAGCTTGATGACTTCTTTTCATTCACCACAACTGTACCACAAGCTGGGCCTTATTTTAGGAGCTCCAGAACAGTTGTAACCTTAAATTTGCTTTGATGGAGTTTATTGGCTCCTTTCATTTACAAATCTTCCTAACTCATCTTTGGGAATCAACCTGAAAAGAACAATCAAGGGCCAAAGTTGTTGTTTTGTTTTTCTATGTTTTAGCTATTTCTTTCTTTATAATTATTTTTTAATTTTTATTATTTATTATTAGCATATTTACACATCATGATTTTTCTTTATGTCCTTTACCCAACCTATCACTCCCTGAACCCCTGCCCTCCCTCTGCCCATCTCTAGTATCCTTAGGTTTTTTCTCTCCTGAAAGTTTTATAGAAGCCAAGTTCCTTGATTTATCCATAGCAACTTTGTTACTTTAAAAAACAAAAACCTTAAGAGCATTCTCAGCCTCACAGTTTTGGCCATGGGTAGAGAAGTGCGAAGAGTTTGGTTCAGGCGTAACTTTTTCCACTTGCTGCAAACCCAGAGGGAAATAGTGAAAAGATGTACCTGTGCCTGTGGCAAAGAAAAGCTTTGGCTGGGAATGGAGGGAAACACGGGGTGGGTGCCACGCTGTTGGGGGAGCTTTCCCAGCTTGAAAAAAAAAAAAAATCCATTGGTAGAAAGGGATTTTTCAACACTTCCTGGTCCCGGGCCCCTTAAAAGCAAAATTAGCATCAAGAGCCTATCAGTCTGAGCATTCAGCTCAGCTCTTTCCCCTGCCAATGAGATACTTAAGGATGTCCACGTGGTCCCATAACCTCACTTTGGTCATATTCATCCTCTCCTCTTTTTACTCCTATTAAACAAATAGCCTGTAGCCAAAATTCTGCCTGGGGTCCCCTTCTTAGAGCTCCTTGCTTTGTCACAAAGGAGCAAGGGGTTTTCTACCACTTGCTTTTTTCCTCCACATGCTGTTTCATTCCATTCACGTGGACAATAGTGACTAGCAAATTTCATCCAGTAACTTTTAGTTCAGGAACTTAATTACCCCCTTTTCTACTTCATTTTCCCATCAGTTTTTGTCAAATCCCATATGCTCAAAGCTCAGGGAGTGCGAACCTCTGCTGTGTCCAGGCCCTAGAGGGAGGTTAGGAGATTCGTTGTGAGCCAGGAGGCAGGGAAGGTGGTGACAATGCCCGTGGCTCTGAAGCTCAAGATGATTCTCCCTCTTCCCTCTGTTTTTGTTTTTGCTTTTGCTTTTTTTTTTAATGCAGAAACTCACCCCATGGCCTAAGCAGCCTCTCCACATCTCAGATACTTCTCTGTCCTCCTCCCCATGGGCAGCTTTTGCTGGCGTGAGAGAGAACGCTACTGTGGCCATCCTGGGGCCCTCTTGATAAGAAAACAATGGGAATGGGCCGGCCCGGTGGTGCACTGCTACAGTGCGCCGCGCTCCTGCCAAGGGTTCGGATCCCACATACAGACCGGTTCCCACTCACTGGCTGAGCAAGGTGCGGACGCAACACCGAGGGTTGCGATTCCGTTGCCAGTCCCGGTCCGGTACGGGCGCGACACTGAGGGTTGCGATCCGTTGCCGGACACGAAAAAAGACAAAAAAAGGAAAAAAAAAAAGAAAAGAAAACAATGGGAAACTGGAAGCAGATGGAAACCTGGGGGGTGGGGGTAAGGAAGGTATGGTGAGAATTTGCCCTATGGGCAGCTCTCCGTAATTCTGGAGCTGCTTGTCTATTTGATGGATGATTCAGGCCTGCCGCCTTTACAGCTCCTCTTTCTGGCTCCTGCTGCTGCCTCGAAGACACTTCACTAACCCCCTAACCAGAAGTCAGATCCAGAAAGGAGGAAAAACCAGGTCAGATCTTGAGTTATTTGGGTTTTTATCTCTGGTAAAAAGCTAATAGGATGAGTTGGAAGGAGCTAAGAGACATAGTTTGATGTATCACTGGGGGTTTCAGTGTTCTCTAGGTGGGTAGGAATCCTTTCCCAAGAAAGACAAGCTCATTGCTCTTTGTCTTAGGCCCAGTTAGCATCACCTTATGCAGCAGGTAGGAAGAAAGCAGAAGGACTGTCGAGAGGAGCTCAGGACCATTTTTTCTAGAACTATTGCTTTCTCAAAACTTCGGAGAGGAGTGAAATAGATTCCCAACTGAAATAGGGGACAGGAGAACAGATAATTCTGTCTCACAAAAACAAACAAATGAAGACCTCAAATTTAAATCCAAAATCTTCCCCCAGGGGGTACTTGGAATTGAGAAACCATGACCATTCTTGTGAGGATTATACCTCTTGGCTGAAGTCAAAGTGTACTTTTCTAACTTTCTCACTGTTGGTGTTCCTCTGAGATGCTCCTTTGGTTTATCCAGTGGCTGGGCCCTGTCACTGGAACAGGTGTCCTATTGGCAGCATCACTCACAAAGGCTCCATCCTGACCGTAGGTGACATTGCAGTGACCCTGAGACACATGTGAGGGTGTAACACGGTTCCCTCTACCCAGAGTTAGAGTAATCCACTAATCCCGTGTAGTCTACCAGCACATGGCTCCAATCGAGACACCTCTCTGGGAAGTAAATTTATAAATGATTAAGAGAAAAAGCCTCTAAAGGCTTGAAAAGAAACCAGGGATTAGATGACCCCTTCATCTGTGGCAGTCAAAAAAATCTGCAAATTGTTTTACTTCAATTTGGATCAAAATTTTAAACTCTGTAAAACTCATTTGTTTTACAGACGTCCCTCTGTTCTTCCCTTAATGTCTAAGACAAAATTATTTTTTAGGTAATGCTCTCAGTGGCTTGCCTGAAATGAGTCGAAAGAGATTTTTTTCAGACCTCAGTGAGTTTCATGGACAGGAGAAGCAAGGCAGTAGACCTTCCAGCCAGTGCCCCGAATAGTCCAGTTTCAGGGGAAAGGTGTGGGTGAGGACAGTGTATGGAAATCAAAAAGCCACAAGCTAGAGCTGGGTGCAAATGTCAAAACCTTTCCCTAAATGTTCTGCTCAGCCCCCAAATCCATGTTCTCCCGCAGCCTCATCACATCCAGCATGTCCACCATAGACACTGGGAGCCCTCACGTCCATTCTTCTGGCCCCCTGGATGAAGCATGAAGGGTAATGCCTGGTGGGTCATCGCAGGTGACCCCAGCCGGGTTTCGTGTTAGTGAGTTTGCTCAACCACATCAGCTGTCATTCTGGGGATGATACTACTAGGTACCCCCAGGACCAGAGATTAAATATAGGATTAACATCCTCAGTCTTAGCCCCTCAGGCTAGAAATTGAGGAAGATTTTTCTCTACAATTTATGTGTCTTGGATCTCTCAATCAACAACACAACAAGCAGTTCTACAAATTTTGTATTATTCAATCGGCGCAAAACATCCATCCTTGTGATTGGCTTCGATTATTCATGTATTCTGTTTCTCTTTTCCTTATCCTGTCTCCCTTCAGCCCTCATTATTCTAAAGTGTCTTGCACATACCTGTTTTTATTTATTTATTTATTTTTGTGAGCCCCATGGCAGGGTGTATTTGTAGGGAGTCTTTTCTCTGATTTTATTTATGTGTCTTTCTAATGAATTAATTATTAAAAATAAAAGCTTAGGAGTCCTGTAGGAACTGGCTTTCTCAACAGAGTGAGAATAATGGAGAGGCTGTGTTTGAATTTGCCCTCCTAATGGTGGTTGTATGCATTCCTTGGCTGAGGAGTTGCAGATTTGGGGAGATTAAAACACATTCCAACCCTCTTCCTGGTATTATAAACAATGAGAACATGCCTTTTCTTGCCACAAGAATCTAGAGAAGCAGAAGATGGCAGGTCTGGAGACACAGAAGAGGCCGCTGATGTTGGCAGCGTTGAATGGGCTCTCGGTGGCACGGGTCTCGGGGCGGGAAGAGAGTCGAGTTGATGCCACCCGGATTCCCATGGACGAGAGGGTAAGTGCCGGGCTTGTCAAACATGTGATTCCTTCCCTGTGGTCGGTCTTAGGATCCCAAAGCTCCCTCATTGCCCAAACTTGCTAGCACTAAGATTTGTTTGATGAATTAATCCTTCAATTTGAGATTAGGAAGATCTGCTCTAACTGTGTTGTATTAAATCAATCCTTCCCAACATCTAATGTTTCTTTGTTTCGGTCTTCCTGCTTTGTCAAGTTGGTATATCGGTACTTGCCTAAAAAGAGAGCCCCTAACAAGCCATAAGGTTTTGGTCAGGTCACTCAATTTCTTTGGGCCTCTTTCCTTTTTTGTAAAATGAGGGAGTTAAGCAATTGCTATAGCTCTCAATTCTTATGATTTTTGTCACCAGTTACCATTTCTAAGGAAGTGATTTCTTTTATCCAAGCATTCATAGAGTACTTTTAAGATCTATCCCCTTATGTGGATATAAAATGTATCTGATTTATCGATGTTGGGATAACATATTGTAAGAACTTTGGTTTTGAAAAGCAGAAAGTTGCACAATAGTGTTTAGTTTTAGTTCCTGAAATTGCTGTCAGAAGGTTAAGAAACAGGTTGCATAAATTTAATAGAGTGCTGATAACATTAGGATGTCAGATTTCTGCCAGTTATGTATCCAGTATTAGAATGTTTTTATAGCCAGAAGGGACTTTAGAGGGATCATTTAATCCAATTAATATTTTGTAATTGTAATTAGTAGTGAGGTTAGGGAAGAAAAAAGAAAGGGGGGGATTTAAGAGCTATACAACTGTGGACAAGTGTCATCTTAAAATTTAGCTCAGTAAAAGCAGCTATTTAAGTGGAGAAAAGGATATTTGCATAGTTAAGATTAATAATATCTCCTTATCATTAGGACTTTAAACAGTGATGTTAATAGCAAAAATATTGATTTTTGAATTTAAGCTTTTGCTAGTTCTTACAGATTTATTCTGTTTACAGTAGGAGTGAGGAGGAAAATGGTTATCAGACAAGAGAAATTAGCAACATGGTTAATAATGAGACCAAATAATCAAGTATTGTACATTTTGAAATCCCTTATTAACACTATCACTGTAAAGACCTTAAGAAATTTGGTTATTTTTTTGGTGTTTTTGGATAAGATAATTCAGAGAGCTGAAGATTAATTTCTGTTGCAGTTCAGAGCCTTGAAGAAGAAGCTAGAAGAGGGTATGGTGTTCACAGAATATGAGCAAATTCCAAAGAAAAAGGCAAACGGCATTTTCAGCACAGCGGCTCTTCCAGAAAATGCTGAGCGCAGCCGAATCCGCGAGGTGGTCCCCTATGAGGAGAATCGAGTGGAGCTGATACCAACCAAAGAAAACAATACAGGATACATTAATGCCTCCCACATCAAGGTAAAAAAGGAAGTATGTTGGAAGGTTTGTTATAGGTTGCAGGTTAAAGGTAAAAATGCAGGGAGAAAAAAGTGTATGTTTTGCAACTGCACCTGTTGGCTTGTGCCTCTTGGCTTGTGCCCAGACCCTTAGGAAGTGTTCTTGAACTCTTG